TTTACTCTCTTCAAGCTATACCTAGATCCCTGTATTCCAGAGCCCTGTTGTTCCAAGGTTGAGTATGCTTCACTATTTAGAGGTAGATGTTTTTTGACAAAAGGAGGGGAGTGATTGATTTTTCAGTCCCTGGGACCATCAAGTGAGAAGAATTGAGAGCAGGACCCTATCCAGAGAGGCAGTGATGCCAGGGATGGAGATAGAGATGGTGACGTTGACAGATGGAGTGGCTGGGGACACTGGACTCAGGGAGGGAGAAGGGCTGTGTGCTGGTGGATGGGGGTGGACCTGTGTGGTGTACTCTTTGGTTATTTGATGATGCATGGAGGGGATTGTAATCTTTGCAATGAAATGAAATACAAATAGGATGAGTGCAAAGCCGATGTTCTCCCATGTAAACCTCACAATAAAAACGTAAAAAAAAAAAAGAAAGAAAAATCAACGTATGTCATTAGGCAAATCTGATGCAAAATACCTCTTTGAAGTGTTCAAGAGCAAAGATGTCAGGTTGAGGACTAAGGTGTACCTGACCCAAGTCAGGATATTTTCAATTGCTTCATATGCATGTGAAAATTGGACAACGAAAAGGCTGACCATAGCAGAATCCATGCAACTGAGTTCTGGTGTTGGAGAAGAATATTGAAAGTACTATGGTTGCCAGAAGAACAAACACATCTGTCTTGGAAAAGATACAACCTTAATGCTCCTTAGAAGTGAGGGTGGTTAGACTATGTACTTTGGGCATCTTATCAGGAGGGACCGATTCATGGAGAATGACATCATGATTGGAAAAGTGGAGGATCAGTGAAAAAGACAACCCCCCCCAAGGAGATGGAGAGACACAGTGGCAACAACAATGGGCTCGAACATGGCAATAATTGTGAGGATGGTGCAGAGTTGTGTATAGGGTCGCTATGTGTCTGAACCTAGTGGACAGCACCTAACAACATATATTTGTATATATATTTGTATGTATGTATGTATATTTGTTGTTGTTGTTATGTGCCGTGGAGTCGGTTCCCACTCATAGTGACCTTGTACATAACCACCACCACCATATCTCAAGGTGGGCTATTTAAACCTACCAGCCCCTCCTTGGAAACCCGTATATGTTTCTGTAAAAGAATCCCCATGAGTCTGTGGACTGCAGGCACTTAACAACTATGTCAGTTTCCAGTCTAGCTTTGGTTGTTGTTGGTTTCCGAGGCTGTAAATCTTTACGGGAGCAGAAAGCCTCATTTTTCTCCCGCAGAATAGCTGGTAGTTTTGAACTGCAGACCTTGAGATTCGCAACACAATTCGTAACCACTACGCTACCAGAGCTCCTTTATCAGTGAGAGTCACACTTATAAAAGTAATTAACTCTAATGAATAAAGGATCATGTTAAGTGTCTTCTATTCTGTGCCGACTCATAGCGACCCTGTATAGGGTTTCCAAGGAAAGGCTGGTAAACTTGAACAGCCGACCTTGTGGTTAGGAGTCTAGTGCTTATCCTAAGACATCACACCAAGACTCCAAAAGACCCACAGCGACCCTGTATAGGGTTTCTGAGGAGCAGCTGGTGAGCTTGAACCGCCGACCTTGCATACCAAATGACTTTGCGGTCTGGCGCATTAACCCACAGTGCCACACCAGGGCTCCTTTTTCATTATAAACCCTATGTATTTTTTTTTTTTTTTAACCGTATACATTAATTTGGGAGCTCGGTGGCTCTGCAGGTGAAAGAGGAGGCTTTCTGCTCGCGCAAAGATTCACAGTCTCGGAAACCCTATAAGGTCGCTATGAGTTGGAATCTACTCGACGGCACTTTACATTAAAATAATGTAATTTAAAATAGGGTTCCTCCAATTCCACGGTCACTAAGGAGCTTCCTTTGTCCGCAGCTCGGGTCTAGATGCAAAGTCCGGTGCGCTGTGCAGCTGTGGACTGCAGACACATACGTGATTTCTACCTAGGCTATACCCAGCGTCCGGCCAGGGTGTATGCATCTTTCTGCAAGAGCTGGATACTAGAATCCAAATTAGGCCATCAGACAATATGGCAGTAACCCTATCTCGGTTACTCTCAGAAGCCAAAATCTTAGCTCCAGCCCAGAGTAGGTCAGAGATCGCTGGGCGGCGGGTCCTTTTAAATATTGCAGCCAATCACGGCGCAACATTTTCCTGTCCTTGTGGCCAATCATCGGTCGCTTTCTACTATGGGCAAAGAGGTACCTGAAGCCACAGGCTTGAGCTTTCTTGGAGAGGCTCTCTCTCTCCTCCCAGTCCCGGCAGCTCCAAAGAAACCCTAAAGCGGCCATTGTATTTAAGGGCAAGTGCAACGACGAGACACCATATTTGATGGGATCAGGGAATCGCGTCACAAGCCAGCCGCTAGTGACAGTCGAAGCCAGAATGCCGCCATATTTTCTGAAGGCACATTCCGGGTCTCTTAACCCAGGTCTCTATGTCCAGGCGGCCATGGAATGAATAAACACTTAGAGGTTTTATTTGTCTCCCATCAGAATCCCTGAATTCTTAGCAACCAGTCCCTGGTTCCCCCAACTGCGTTTGGACGCCAAAGCTGGGCGGAGCCCAGACTTGGGCAGCCTTTCCTGTGGACCACGAAAGCGGAGGCCGGGAGCGGGGAGACGGTGGCCGGGGACCGGGTGGCCGCTGCTCGGGGCTGGGAAGCCCCATGGCACCACCTCCGGCCCCAGCCCTGGTGCAGAGACCAGGGGAGACCGTGCCTGGGTACCAGAAGCCAGGGATCGTGCGGTTCGCGGACGTGGCCGTGTACTTCTCTCGGGAGGAGTGGGCGTGTCTGCGGCCCGCTCAGAGGGCCCTGTACCGGGACGTGATGCGGGAGACCTACGGCCACCTGGGCGCGCTCGGTGAGGCCTGGGGCTACAGCTCCTGTCCTTCTTCGTCGGGATTCACAGGGGAGCCGATAAGGAAGGACTGAGAAGATTGCGAGCCCTAAGCAGCACCAGCCACCTCCCATTCCCAGGGCTTCTGGAGGGACCAGTCCCCTTTGGGGAGTCTTTTAATCCCACATCCACTTCTCTCTGGCAGGAGCATTGCAGGCCCTGTCTGGGTTGAATACGTGTTCTGAGGAGATGCCCTCACCCTGGCAGGGGGACGCCATCTCCCGAGGGCAGCCTCTCAGGCCAGCGCTGTTCTCTCCCAGGATTCCCGGGCCCCAAACCAGCCCTCATCTCTTGGATGGAACGGGAGAGTGAGGCTTGGAGCCCCGCCGCCCAGGAACCTAAGGAGGGGGAAAACCTGGGAGGAGCTCCGAGAGGTGAGGGATTGTCCCAAGTCCCCCCTGCTTGGCTCTCCATAGCTTCCTGTCCAGCAAAGGTTTCTTTTCAGACCCCCACTTCCAGCATCACCTCGTTCAGAACGTTCAGAACTTGGGACAGTAGTCATTTTGAGGACTGTCTGAGCTAGGAGAATCAGGAACCCAACTCCAAGACAATTGGGTTGCTGAGTACCTCTCCTAGGAAACGCCATTCATTCTCCTTTAAGGATCAACTAAAAGGCCCTAAGAATGGAAGCGGCTGTAGGTCTGCCTTTCATGTTCCTCAAACAAAGCAAAATGATTCAAGAGAAAAATGTCTAGTAATTGACAAGCTGGTTCTTCTTTCCTCTTAACTCCTCCCACACACAAGCTGAGAGATCTTAAGCAAAGTATTTCATTAAAAAATCCGGCTTAACCCAAAAAACAAAACCTATTGCCTTTGATTCATTTGCTATAAGAAGTCAATCTTAAAAGATTGAACCCTGTTTACAGTCCTCCGAGGCTCCTGTGTATTAATCACTTGGCTGATACTTTCCCGGCCTATCTGGGTAGTGTTTTGGCCATGCTGTGCATAGAAGCATCTCATAACCTGAGGTGGTGTATGCAAATGTGTTATTAACTGTAACCTAATTTTTGCTTCCCAGGAAGGGTAGGGTCCGGAGCTAAGGAGTCAAAAGAAACTCCACCGAAAGAGATACCTGAAGAGTTGATTAAACGCAACCCTGACTTGCTCCCCCCCACAGCCTTGGTGAGAGCGCAACAACCCCTGAAAGCTACTTGGGACCAGACCTCGGCCCCGATGCCCAGCGTGGACGCACAGGCCAGCCAGCGGCGCCACGTGTGTGCAGACTGTGGCCGTCGGTTCACCTACCCCTCGCTGCTGGTCAGTCACCGGCGCATGCACTCGGGTGAGCGGCCCTTCCCCTGTCCGGAGTGCGGCATGCGCTTCAAGAGGAAGTTTGCTGTGGAAGCGCACCAGTGGATCCACCGTTCCTGCTCTGGGGGTCGTCGGGGAAGGAGGCCTGGGATCCGTGCTGTGCCTCGGGCCCCAGTCCGAGGTGACCGGGACCCGCCTGTGCTGTTCCGGCACTACCCAGACATTTTTGAGGAGTGCGGGTGATCGGCTGCCCCGCGCTGGAGTTGAGCCTGCAGTGTGACCTTGGCGCTAAGAACTGACTGAGCCCTGACGGAGGCTCCTGAGTCAGGAACTTGGACAACGAAATTCATCCCTGGGGTTTCCCTCAAGGATCCCTGAAGTTTCCCAACTTGTAAAAGGAAAAGTGCCTGTAAAGATTCAAATAGATTAAACCTCCTTCCTAATGTTCCATAAAAAGATTGAAGAGGGTGAGACCCTTGACTTTTTCAAAGCTTAGCAGGTACAACTGAGCTCTTTTTGTTTCCTCGGGCAAACGCTGAGGGGCGCTAAGAACTGGGGACGCAGAGGAAGGGCTGATTTTCTCCAGCAGGGAGCCTGGGAAGGGAGTGGATAGAAAAGTGCAGATGCACCTGCTACAAATCTAGTCTCGGCAACTTGTTCTAAATTACATCCCGTTTCCGAGCCTCGGTTTCCTCATTTGCCCAACGAAGATTGATACTAACTACCTCAAAAGCTTCCTCTGAAGACCGAAACTTTAACAAGATCTGTGTGACACAGTACGTGTGCAATAAATGCTTGTTGAAAGAGTGAATCATTGTTGAGATTGTACACTTTAGAAAGTGTAAAGAAGCCTGATAAAGAGGCAGGGCCTGAATATCAATAGACATGTTTTGCAGATGAATCAACTGAGGCTTAGAGAAATGAAGAATTCTCTCAGTTTCATTGCTATAAAACAGTAAGGCTGGAAACTGACAGAGAATCCAGATTTTTCTAGCCCTCTGAGAAGGTAGATCTAGTAAACATCAGAGATGGGGACTCAGGTCAAGGGAGAGAGAGGTGAGAATTGATGTCTGGACAGGGAGCCAGCCTGCCAACAAACAAGAGTAACTGTACAAAGAAGATTTTTTCATCCTCAGTTCCCAACCAGAAAGTGGCCTCTGTCTTTGGACTTGGGGATCATTCCTTAGATGTAGGATCTAGTCCAACCTGACTAGGGGAGACTGACAGAGAACTGAGAGGCCCACAAAGTCTAGTGTCCACCTTCACTACCTGGTATGATGCTGAAGAATAAGCACTAGACCATAAGATTGGTTCAACCCAAAAGATCAGTGGTTCAAACTCACCAGCCGCTCCTTGGAAACTCCATACAGAGTTGCTATGAGTCGGAACTGACTTGATGGCACTTAACAACCCCATAACATCTTCATTTAGACAATGCAGTAAATATTCAATGGCCTCAATGGCCATATTTTGAATGTCTTCTATTCTAGGGACTGTGCAAGATGATGAAAGAATAGTGTGAAGAGAGCCTGGCCCCATTCATGCATTCAGCAAGCACCATCTCAGACCTCTGGGCTTTATTGGACTTAGAGGACACAGTGGACTTATGGGAAGAGAATGAGTAGAGAGCTGTGGCAGAGGAAGCTTGGAGGCACATTTAACCCAGGCTGGCTGGTGGTATACCAGGCAAGGCTGCTTGGGGAAGGAGATGGTTTGTGCTTCTCACAGCATAAACAGGAATTGATGTGTGGGCGAGGGGGAGTTTCAGGCAGAGGGAGCAGCAAGGGAGCCTTGTTTCATAAAAGGATCAAATATGGACATAGTATAGGGTAGAGGTTAAAGCATAGGCTGTGGGATCAGACTGTCTAGGGTTCAGATCCTGATCATTGTCTTCTTCTTTTTTTTTTTCTTTAAAGATATAGCTTTCATACTTAACCCCCTTAACCAATCATATGTTTTGCTTCATCTCAATGATTACCCTCCCCTCCCTGTAACAACAGGTATCTTGCTTCCACCCCCTGACTTCCCTTTTACATCTTATTTGTCACAAATGAACAAAGCAAAAACATCTATTCATTTAAATGTCTAAAGGGCACATTTTGCCAGCCAGCCTTCTGCCTGCAGGCACACAGCCTTACTCAGTGCGCGGGCCTAGAGTTCTCTGCTGCTCTAGCTCTCTGCGTCATCGCCTCTACCACCGATTTCTGCTGTTGCCGCTTTTCTGGGTTGGATCTCACGCTCCGCTCATACTCTTCCTTCTTGATGATCCCTGGGGTCCTCTGTTCTTGAAATGAATGGTTAACTACTCCCCCCTTTAGTTATATATCTTCTACAATTACAGTTGTCACAATTGTGATTAATCCCGATAACAATTACCCACAATTGAATCATAAAATCCTATCAGCATCATCCCCTCCCCCCTTTCACCAGATCCATCTAGAAAAGAGGAAAACAATTCAGTGGGGATTCTACCTTACCCCCTTATTCTGGAACTAAGCACATTCATGAAAGTTTGTAAGCCAGCCCTTTGTGCCTTTATAGCCCCCCATCCCAGCCCGCCCCATTTTTGATAGCCATTGTCTGGATTGCCCATCCCTATCAACCCAGCGCACTGAGGAAACAAGCCTGATTCTTGATAGGAAGAATCCTTCCAATTTGGTTGGAATTTTGAGCATTTGCATCCATAAACAAAGGTCTAATTCATAAATTTGAAGCAATTTACAATTGCTCACAGTATCAAACTTCTTGATTTTTATCTGATGGAGTTCTGGTCAGCTAGCCATTCAAGCTAAGTCAAATGGGTTCTAGCTGCAAGTTCTTGTATGCCTCCCACACTTCAGACCAGCTGGCTGCTTCTCTCTCAGCTCTAGCCCCTAGTGGCTAAGTCAGTGTCCATGGACTCGGGAGTTTACACATCTCCTTAAACTTCAGACCAGTCAGTCTTTCCTCTTCTCTTTCTCATCGCAATGTCAACAAGTGTCAATGGAAGATGGCCAAACTCAGCTCATATCTTCATTGCTGCATTTTCCCCTCTTCCACTCACAAGTAGACAAAGGCAGACTGATTGCTTTTTAATCTGTGCAATCTGAATCAAGTAATTTTACTCTGTGCTCAGTTTCTTCACCAACAAAACGTAGATAATAATATCATGTACCTCATAAGATTGATGTCAGGATTAAATGAGATATTATCTAACAGTGCCTTACACATTAATGTTCAATATATTTTGGTTGTTACTATTTGGATATAATACAAAGTAGTATATGAGGAGCGCCATGAGGAGACCTGGGCAGTTCTGAATCAAGGGAGGTCTCCAGGAGGAAGTGCTTCGAACTGGCCTAGGAGAATGGAAAAATTTTCAGATTTGGATAGCATGTATAGGAAATGGACATAGTTACATTTGATTGAAACATGAGTAATGGGGACTGTGGAGCAGAGAGGAGAAAGCCAGGCCAGATCTGGGACAGTCCCAAATGCCAGCAGAGGAGCTTGAGGTTTACCCTGTAGGCAGTAAGAAGCCAGGAAAAGGTCTTGAGCAAGGGTAGGACTGACTCTTTGACAGGTGCTGTCAGATGACTATGCGAAGCAGTATGGGAATACAACCAGTAGGAGGAGTCTGGCTCTATCCCAGATGAGCTTATCAGGAGCTGGGACCACAGGAAAGAGAGACAGCTTTGAGAGCTTCTGCCATACAACCTGCTTGGCTCCATGACTGCCTGGCTCCATGACTGACAGTGTGTTGTTAAGTGCCATTGAGTTGGTTCCGACCCATAGCAACCCTGTACAGGGTTTCCGAGGCTGTAAATCTTTACGGGAGTAGAAAGCCTCATCTTTCTCCCACGGAGCGGCTGGCAGTTTCCAACTGCCGACCTTAAGGTTCGCAGCCCAATTCGTAACCACTATGCTACCAGAGCTCCTTGACTGACAGTATAAGCTGTGATAAATAAGAGGCTTCGAACATGGAGAGCTGGAGCTAGGGAGCATCAGTGCTGGGAATGGAGCGCTCAGGAGTTTGGGTGTGTGTGTAGGATACAGAATCAAAGAGTCAACAACACTGGGAGGGATGAGTCCAAAGAGAAGGTGGAGCAGGGAAGAGGGAACACTGCCAAGAGAAAGAATCAAAACCAGGCACATTGGTACTGTTTTCTCTCATTCATTACCGTGTACTATCGTATGAGTCCTGGTGTGGAACTGTAAGCTAAGCAGTGGACTGCTAACCACAAGGCAAGTCGTTTCCAGTCACTCCTAAGAAACCCTATGTTGTTGTTACTGTTGTTAGGTGCTGTCAATGTTGGTTCTGACTCATAGCAACTTTATGCACAATAGAACGAAACACTATCTGCCCCACCAACCTCACAATAGTTGATTGAGCCCATTGCTGCTGCCACTGTGCCAGTCCATTTCATTGGGGTCTTCTGTTTCCACTTTACCAGGCATGGTGTCCAGAGACTGTTGCCTCCTGATAACATGTCTACATCAATTCTTTTACGGTCCTGCTTATTCACTGCCCAACTTCCACATGCATATGAGTCTATCGAAAATAACATGGTTTGGGTAAGGCATACTTTAATCATCACACTGACATCTTTACTCTTGAACACTTTAGAGAGGTCTTGTGCAACAGATTTGCCTAATGCAATATGTCATTTTGTTTCTTGTCAGCTGCTTCCATGAGTGTTGATTGTGGATTCAAGTAAAATGAAGTCTTTGACATCTTCAATCCTTTCTCCATTTATCATGATGTTATTTATTGGTCCAGATATGAGTAATTGTGTTTTCTTTACATTGAGGTGCAACCCATACCAAAGGCTGTGGTCTTCGATCTTCATCAGTAAGTAGTTTAAGTCCTCTTCACTTTCAGCAAGCAAGGTTGTATCATCTGCATATCACAGGTTATAAATGTGTCTTCCTCCATAGCTTATCATGATCCACACAGTCAAAAACCTCTGCATAGTCAATAAAGCACAGGTAAACATCTTTCTAATACTCTCTGCTTTCAGCTAAGATCAATCTGACACCAGTAATGATATCCCTCATTCCATGTCCTTGTCTCAATCAGGCTTGAACCTCGGGCAGTTCCCTGTCACTGTACTATTGCAGCCATTTAAAAATTATCTTTAGCAAAATGTTACATGTATGTGATATTAATGATATTGTCCTATGATTTCCACATTCCATTAGGTCACCTGTCTTTGGAATGGGTGCAAATATGAATCTTTTCTAGTCAGTTGGCCAGGTAGCTG